TCTCCCCCTTGCCTTCTCTGTTCCTGGCCGAGAGAGGACAGTTTTGTGGCTCAGGGTGGTGAGGGAGGGTCTGTGCCGTTCCTGTTAGCACGCCGGCCAGGCCTCCCTCCACACCGCTGGCTCTCACCCGCCTCCAAGGCCAGCGTCTCCTGGCTCTACCGTCAGCATTTCGTCCTTCTGTTGAGGTGCTTCCTTCTGTGGCTACGTGTCCTCGTCTCCCTCCTTGAAAAGCAACCCCGATAATTCTCAGGGGGGAAGGGGTGCCTGAGTGAGGGGTACGGGAAGAGACTGGACAAAAATCATACAACTATGGATGAGGACAGCGTGGGGGGTGGGGGAAGGTAAGGACAGAGGGTGGAGTGGGGACCAGGTGGAGGGGAGCTATTGGGGGGCGGGGAGAGAAGGAGAAACAATTGTAATAATCGGAACAATAAAGATTTATTAGAAAATAATAATAATAAAAATAGAACATTAGCCGAAACCGGTTTGGCTCAGTGGTAGAGCATCGGCCTGCGGACTGAAAGGTCCTGGGTTCGATTCTGATCAGGGGCATGCACGTTGGTTGCGGGCACATCTCCGATAGGGGGCGTGCAAGAGGCGGCTGGTCGATGTTTCTCTCTCATCGGCGTCTCTAGCTCTCTCTCCCTCTCCCTTCCTCTCTGTAAAAAATCAATAAAATAGCCGATACCGGTGTGGCTCAGTGGTAGAGCGTCGGTCTGCAGACTGGGAGGTCCCAGGTTCGATTCCGGGCAGGGGCACTTACGTTGGTTGCGGGCACATCCCCGGTGGGGGGTGTGCAGGAGGCAGCTGGTCGATGTTTCTCTCTCATCGATGTCTCTAGCTCTCTATCTCTCTCCCTTCCTCTCTGTAAGAAAAATCAATAAAATGTATTTAAAAAAAAAAAATCAATAAAATATATATTTAAAAAAAATAAAATAAAGCATTACAAAAGAAAGAAAAAGAAAAGCAACCCCTGTCATGGCACTGAGAGGCTAGCGAGGAGCGAGGAGCGGAGGGCCGAGGGGGGCGGGCATCGGAGAGCCTGCAGTCCCGGCTCTGCGGTGGCTGCGGTTGGGTGGGCCAGGGTGTCGGGGAGGACACAGCAGCTGCCCCTCACCCCGGGGGGAGGTCCTCGGCGCCGGGATGCGTCCGGACACCCTTTCTCCTCTCTGCCCTCGCAGGGCTCGATGACCCGCAGGCGTGCGCCGACCCCGGCGTCCCCGAGAACGGTTTCCGGACGCCCCGCGGCGGGGTGTTCCTTGAAGGCTCCGTGTCCCGCTACCACTGCCAGGACGGCTTCACGCTGAGGGGCTCCAGCAAGAGGCTGTGCGTGAAGCACCTCAACGGGACCCTCGGCTGGATCCCGAGCGACAGATCCGTCTGCGTGCAAGAAGGTGACGTGCCCCCGCCCGCCCCTCCCCTGCCCACGGACACCTCGGTGTCTGCCTGGTGGCGGCCAGCAGCCGTTGCCATGGCCGCTGGGGCCCAAGGCTGTGTGTGCCAGAGGGGGGGTCTGTTCTGGGGGAGCTAGGTCTGCACGCAGACGGGGAAGCACGCGTGCATGACCGGGGCTGGGGCACATCAATTCTGCCCGGTCATCTCCCTTCTCCATCTCAGTTACCACCCGATTCATCACCGTAGTTGTCCACGCAGGAGACAAGCTGGGAGCACGTTAGGGCTGTTGATTCCCGGGCTGCCATCTCCCTGCTCATTCCCATGCTACTCCATAAAAAGCACAGCAGAGCCGAAACCGGTGAGGCTCCATGGATAGAGCGTCGGCTTGGGGACTGAAGGGTCCCAGGTTCGATTCCGGTCAAGGGCATGCGCCTTGGTTGCGGGCACATCCCCAGTAGGAGGTGTGCAGGAGGCAGCTGATCGTTGTCTCTCTCTCTCATTGATGTTTCTAGCTCTCTATCCCTCTCCCTTCCTCTCTGTAAAAAATCAGTAAAATATATTAAAAAAAGAAAGAGCCGAAACCGGTTTGGCTCAGCGGATAGAGCATCGGCCTGTGGACAGAAGGGTCTCAGGTTCAATTCTGGTCAAGGGCATGCACCTTGATTGTGGGCACATCCCCAGTAGGAGGTGTGCAGGAGGCAGCTGATCGATGTCTCTCTCTCATCGATGTTTCTAGCTCTCTATCTCTCTTCCTTCCTCTCTGTAAAAAAAAAAAAAAAAAAAAAAAATCAATAAAAATATATATTAAAAAAAAAAAAAAGAAAGCTTGGGAGATCAGTCATCTTTCTACGTCTGAAGGCCTATGGATGTTTAATATTAACGGCAATGTTGTTGGCCTTGGAGAGATCTGTGTCAAGAGATGTTGCCGTTGCTGCCCCGAGGGTGGAGAAAATCATCCTTGCCTCCTTCCTCACGACCATTCTCCATTCCACGAAGCTTATGGGGGGAGGGGACACCCACAGCTCCATGCCCTGGTGTCCTGGTGCAGCGAGGAAGCTGAAAATCCGCCCCCACCCCTTGATTTAGACAAAGCTTTTCCTCCCCGCTCGGAGTGAATGCTGGAAATAGTAAGGGCTGCTGCGTCCATTTGTATTCCTTGTCGGGGCCGTCTCCGAAGGCTAATGAATCCTGGCGAGGTGGTAGCAGCCATCACGGTAATGCATTAGCTCGTTTCTGTAGGTTACCACGGTGTGCGATCTCACGCTCGCTATCTCAGCTAGCAGGCGCCATCTCCCCCCCAACGAGGAGACGGATTGTTCTCATTAGGAAACAGAGGCTCAGAGAGGTTCGCCTACTTCATCAAGGTCACACAGCTGATGAGTAACCTGGCAGGGATGGAACTGCTTCTCAGCCAGTCTCCCCCTCCTCTCCCCTCCCCTCCCCACAAGATCATGTCTAACCTTGGTGTCGCAAAAGCCCGTTCTAATCCTGTCTAATAAAAGAGTAATATGCAGATTGACCATCACTCCAATGCACAGGATGACTGCCCCCATGTGGACCCAAGATGGCCACCACAAGATAGCCAGCAGGGGAGGGAAGTTGGTAGGCACCAGGCCTGCAAGGGAGGGCAGTTGGGAGAGACCAGGCCTGCAAGGGAGGGCAGTTAGGGATGACCAAGCCGGCAGAGGAGGGAAGTTGGGGGCAAACAGGCTGGCAGGAGGAGGGGGGGCAGTTAGACATCAATCAGGCTCTCAGGGGAGCGGTTAGAGGGTGATCAGGCTGGCAGGCAGAAGCAGTTAGGGGGTTAGAGGATGATCAGACAGGCAGGCAGGCCAGCAGTTGGGAGCCAGCAGTCCTGGATTGTGAGAGGGAGAGAGAGCTAGAAACATCAATGAGAGGGAAACATCAATCAGCTGCCCCCTGCACGCCCCCTACTGGGGATGTGCCCGCAACCAAGGTACATGTCCCTAACCGGGATCGAACCTGGGACCCCTCAGACCACAGACCGACGCTCTATCCACTGAGCCAAACCAGCTAGGGCCAGACGGATGCTTTAAACTTGTTTATTTAGAACCCCCTCCTTCTCACGTGCATTTTCTATCATCTAACATGTCTTCCTTGGTGCCTCAGACGAGTTATCAGGAACAGCAGACTGTGCCCACGGGGGAAGCATCTGCACATACTTTTCTCTCCTCCTTTTCCATCTTCTGAGATAAGAAGGTGCCCCTGCCTGCCTCCAGCATTTCTTCTTTGTGCTTCTTCTTCTTTTTAAAAAATGTATTTTATTGATTTTTTACTGAGAGGAAGGGAGAGGGATAGAGAGCTAGAAATGTCGATGAGAGAGAAACATCGACCAGCTGCCTCTTGCACACCCTCTACCGGGGATGTGCCCGCAACCGACGTACATGCCCTTGACCGGAATCAAACCTGGGACCTTTCAGTCCACAGACCGACACTCTACCGCTGAGCCAAACCGGTTTCGGCAATTTTTTATTTACTTTTTAAATATATACTTTCAGAGAGGAAAGGAGAGGGAGAGAGAGTCAGAGATATCCATGATGAGAGAGAATCATGGATCGGCTGCCTCCTGCACGCCCCCTCCTGGGGACTGAGGCCACCACCCGGGCATGTGCCCTTGACCAGAATCGAACCTGGGACCCTTCCATCTGTGGGCTGACGCTCTGTCCACTGAGCCAGACCAGTCAGGGACACCACAACTGTTTTTGTTGTTGTTGTTGTTGTTTTTTAAAAAAATATATATTTTTATTTATTTCAGAGAAAGAGAGAGGGAAAAAATATCAATGATAAGAGAGTATCATTGGCCGAAACTGGTTTGGCTCAGTGGATAGAGCATCGGTCTGCGGACTGAAGGGTCCCGGGTTCGATTCCAGTCAAGGGCATGTACCTTGGTTGCAGGCACATCCCCAGTGGGGTGTGTGCAAGAGGCAGCTGATCCATGATTCTCTATCATCGATGTTTCTAACTCTCTATCCCTCTCTCTTCCTCTCTGTAAACAAAAAATCAATAAAATATATATCTATATAAAAAGAGAGAGTATCCTTGATCTGCTGCCTCCAGCATGCCCGCTACTGGGAACTGAGCCTGCAACTGGGAATCGAACCTTTGACCGTTCAGTCCGCAGTCCAACGCTCTGCCCACCGAGCCACACCAGCCAGGGCCACCACGCCCGTTCTAAGTTCCAGCAATAACGGGTCCCTTTCCCACGCGCGCAGATTGCCGTACCCCCTTCATCGAAGACGCCGAGATCCACAACAGGACCTACAGGCACGGGGACAAGCTGAACATCACCTGCCACGAGGGCTTCAAGCTCCGGTACCCCGACCTGTACAACGTGGCCTCCTTGTGTCGCGATGACGGGACGTGGGACAACCTGCCCATCTGCCAAGGTACGGGACGGGAGCTTTTCTCCTCGGGGGCAGCGGTGTGGGGTGTGCCCGCGTCTCTGACGGACAGGAAGGCAGACCCACCCACACCGCCTCTTCCCCTCCGTCCGCACCCTGCCCCCCATCCTTCCCGGGGGTTCTCTCCAGCTCCGTGCACCAGGTTTTGTTTGTTTGTTATTATGGTTTTTTAAAATATATTTTTATTGATTTTTTTCAGAGAGGAAGAGAGAGGGATAGAGAGTTAGAAACATCAACGAGAGAGAGAGAGAGAGAGACATCTATCTGCTGCCTCCTGCACACCCTCTACTGGGGATGTGCCCGCAACCAAGGTACATGCCCTTGACCAGAATCAAGCCTGGGACCCTTCAGTCTGCAGGCCGACGCTCTATCCACGGAGCCAAACCAGTTTTGGCTGTTATCGTGGTTTTTTTAAAAAAATATTTTTATTGATTTCAAAGAAGAGAGAGAAAGAGAGAAACATCCATGATGAGAGAGAATCATGGATCAGCTGCCTCTTGCATGCCCGTTACCAGGGACCGAGCCTGCAACGCAGGCACGTGCCCTTGACCTGGAACAGAACCGTGACCTCCTGGTTCCTAGGTCGATGCTCAACTACTGGGCCACACCGGCCAGGCCGAGCACCAGTTTCAAAGATTAAATGGGAACCAGGTCGTTCGTTAGCATGTTGGATGCTGCAGTTTGCTAACCACGGGCCTGGGGGCTGGCCTGAAGGCAGGGCTGAGCCCACGCACCCATCCTGAGCGTGGGCTGGCGATGGGCGGGGGTCTGCCGGGCCACCCACCATGGAGCCGTGCGGTGCCATCCATGCAGTGCCATCCTGGGGCAGAGCAGGGCCACCCTGGAGGGAGTTCCGCCTTCAGTTCTGCCCTGATACCCAGACCCCAGGCGCCGGGGCGAGGACCGGAGCCGTTTCCCGAACAGCCAGCTCTGGATGCTCCGTGTGAGCGATCCACAGTCCCTCCGGAGGAGGGCTCCGTGGCGGGCGGCATCTGTCCCTGGTGATGGGGAGGAGCGGGGCTTTCTTCGCACAGTGTTTACTTCACGCACAGTTAGCTCTCCCGGGAAGACAGGCCGCCGTGCGGGGCCGTTAGCCCCTCCAGACGCCCCACGACCTCAGCGACGCCACGCAGAGAGGATTCCGGGCCGGGGAAGTCCCCGGGGCCCCGAACGGGGGTTCGAGGCAGAAAAGGCAGCCGGCGTTTTACAGAATGAGGAGCGTGGAGGGTGCGGGTCTCACGTGAGGATTACTCGGGGAGCTTTCAAATCGGTGGAGCCCTCGCCGCTGTGGCTCAGTGGGTAGAGCGTGCAGGCCTGCGGACTGAAGGGTCCCGGGTTCGATTCCCGTCAAGGGCACATCATTCTGGGGTTGCAGGCTCGGTCCCCAGGAGGGGGCGTGCAGGAGGCAGCCGATCCATGATTCTCTCTCCTCTTCCCTTTCTCTCTGAAGTCAATAAAATTATGTATTAAAAGAGAGAGAGAGAGCCGAAGCCGGTTTGGCTCAGTGGTAGAGCGTCGGTCTGCGGACTGAAAGGTCCCAGGTTCGATTCCGGTCAAGAGCAAGTACATTGGTTGCGGGCACGTCCCTGGTAGGGGGTGTGCAAGAGGCAGCTGGTCGATGTTTCTCTCTCATCGACGTTTCTTAGCTCTCTAGCTCTCTCCCTTCCTCTCTGTTAAAAAATCAATAAAATATATTAAAAATAATAATAAAAAATAAAAGAGAGAGAGACAGAGAGAGAGAGACAGAGAGAGATCGGGGTGCCCAGGCTGCCCACCCACCCCGGGTGTTTAGTAAGCTTCTCAGGTGATTCTCGGGTGCAGTCGGGGCTGGAACCACCTGCTCGGGGCTTCTGGCTCTCACTGCTCCCCGCTTCTCCCTCCTCCCCACTCCTCCCACCCTCTAGCGCCATGTGCAACTGTGAAATCAAATTTCCGCATCACACATAGAATAAGCAGGTCACTAAGAAGTCTGAACTTTGTAAAAAAAAATGTATTTTATTGGTTTCGGAGAGGAAGGGAGAGGGAGAGAGAAAGAGATGGAGACAACGAGGAGAAAGAATCACAGACCGGCTGCCTCCTGCACGCCCCAGCCTGGGGATCGAACCCACCCCCCGGGCATGTGCCCTTGACCGGAATCGAGCCGTGAGTGACCTCCTGGTTCCTAGGTCAACACCCAACCACTGAGCCACGCCAACTGGGCAGGAATCTGAGCTGTTAGGACCGAGGTGTTCATGGCTCAGAGCCGGGTTGATCTCGGGGGTACAGAGACGCCTGGCTAAGACGCCCCCCCCCTCTCGCTCTGCCTCCCCCCAGGCTGCCTGAGGCCGCTGGCCTCTTCCAACGGCTATGTGAACATCTCCGAGTTCCAGACCGCCTTCCCCGTGGGCACGGTCATCGCCTACCGCTGCTTCCCCGGCTTCAAGCTCGAGGGCTCGGCCTATCTCGAGTGCTTGCACAACCTCATCTGGTCGTCCAGCCCACCCCGGTGCCTTGCTCTGGAAGGTAACCCCTCTTACCCCTTTCGGGAGGTGGGTGGGGGTGTCTCCGTGGGAGGCAGGAGGGAGGTGCAGGGCTGAGAAGGATGGCCGGCCCCTCCCTGTTCACCAAAGGTGCCCTGCAGGCTTCCATCCTGAGCTGAGGCCGCAGGCCTGCCTCCCCGTCTGCCACGGAGCCGTACTTACACCCAGACACAACCCCCCCACCCCACTCCATCCTTAAGCTTAAGGGACAAGAGAGAAAAGTTCCCAGCATCGCCGAAGCCGGTGTGGCTCAGTGGTAGAGCGTCAGTCTCCGGACTGAAAGGTCTCAGGTTCGATTCCGGTCAAGGGCATGGACCTTGGTTGCGGGCACATCCCCGGTAGGGGGTGTGCAAGAGGCAGCTGGTCGATGTTTCTCTCTCATCGATGTTTCTAGCTCTCTATCTCTCTCCCTTCCTCTCTGTAAAAAAAAAAAATCAATAAAATATATTTAAAAAATAAAAAGTTCCCAGCATCCACCGTTCCACTGCAGAGTGCTGCAAAGCTCAACGGAACGTCTCCAGGAATTCATTCTCTCTGGAAACGGAGTGTCTCGGGGCGCCATGGACCTCACCCCTGGTTTTAGGAAGGCGTGGGGTGCCCTCCTGTCCCCACGGCTTTGGTGGCTTTGCGGGAGGGTGCTTTCACTCCCCGCTCCTCCCCTGCCTGCTCCATCGATGTGACTCTGCAGCCTGACGGTCACGGATCGGCGGTGTGAGGTCGTGGGGGGTGGGGAGGGGGGGGGGAGAAGGGGGTTCAGGCAGGCCGCGTGCCTAACTATTCCCGCCAGGCACAGGAGTCCGGCTGGCTCAGCCCTCGCTCTCATTCCGTTTTTTTTTTTAAATGGGGTTCATGACCTTTTTTTATTTTTTATTTTTATTTTATTGATTTTTTTTACAGAGAGGAAGAGAGAGAGAGAGAGAGAGAGAGAGAGAGAGAGAGAGTTAGAAACATCGACGAGAGAGACATCGATCAGCTGCCTCTTGCACACCCCCTACTGGGGATGTGCCCGCAACCAACGCATACATGCCCTTGACCAGAATCGAACGCTCTATCCACTGAGCCACACCGGTTTCGGCTCTTTCCGGTTTTTGGAATTACGATCGGAGAGAACAAACATCCGTTTGTTTCTTGGCGCCGGTTGAATGCAGTAGGCGGGTTGGAGGGGGGGGCGGGCGTGGGGGTCTGCCCGGGGCAAGAGGCAAATGGGAGGACGCCCCCAGCCAGGCCCCGCAGAAGCCGTTCTGCGGCCTTTTCTTGAGGAACAAAACCAGACGAGGCGGTGGCAGCAGGTGTGTCTCGGCGGGGAGGCCTCTGGGGAAGGCCTGGCGTGGGGTGGGCTGAGCCACGGTGCCCTGTTGGCCAGGAGGGAGCGGGGAGAGGAGAGGAGCTGCCCGAATCGTCAACCAGCTGCCTCCTGCACCCCCCCACCCCCACCAGGGATGTGCCCGCAACCAAGGCACATGCCCTGGACCGGAATCGAACCCGGGACCCTTCAGTCCGCCGGCCGACGCTCTGCCCACTGAGCCGCACCGGTTCCGGCTGAAAGGCATATGCATCCGTCTAACCTCCCTCTGACCGTGTGCGTTATCCGACCCCGGATGGCAGCGGGCGCTCGGAGGGGACGGGGGCTGCGGGCGCCGTGCCCGGGGGAAGGCGGGGGGTGCCCGGTACTCACGCCCTTATTCCCCCCACTGCCCTAGTCTGCCCGCTGCCCCCCGTGGTGAGCCACGGCGACTTCGTCTGCCACCCGCGGCCTTGCGATCGCTACCCCCATGGGACCGTGGTGGAGTTTTACTGCGACCCGGGCTACAGCCTCACCAGCGACTACAAGTACATCACCTGCCAGTACGGCGCCTGGTTCCCCGCCTACCAGGTCTTCTGCGTCCGCTCCGGTGAGCCCCGGGCCCGCGGCCGTGACCTTGGGGGTCAGACGGGCCTGCACTTTTTTATTTTTAAAAATATATTTTATTGATTTTTTTTTTTTTAAAGAGGGGAAGGGAGAGGGACAGAGAGCTATTATAGAAACGTTGATGAGAAAGAAGCATCTGTCACCCGCCTCCTGCACAGCCCCCACTGGGGATGTGCCTGCAGCCAAGGTCCATGCCCGCCCCTGACCGGGATCGAACCCGGGACCCTTGTGTCTGCAGGCCGACGCTCTATCCATTGAGCCACACCGGCTTCAGTTCTGGTCCAGGGCGTGTACCTCCGTTGCAGGCTCCATCCCTGGCCCTGGATTGGGGCGTGTCGGGAGGCACCCAATGGGATGTGTGTCTCTCACATGGATGTTTCTTTTCCCGTGTCTCCCCTCTCTCCCTTCCACCGTCTCTGAAACCCACTGGGAACATGGCCTGGGTGGGGGGGCTTCTGGTCAAGGGACAGGACTCTGTTTTGGGGGTCGGCCCTGGCCTGCCCTCACCTGGAGCATGTGACAGCCGTGCCCTCCGAGGCCCTTCCAGCTTCCTGTTCTTCCTCACCTCCCCTACCCCCCGCCCCCCCGGGCCATCCCAGACTCTCACAGAGGCGTGAGCTCAGCGCCCCTCCCCTGCTCTGGACTCCACTTCCCCGGGGTGGGGCCTCCTTCGTTCTCTGCCCGAGAAGCAGGGGCTCACAGGTCTGGGCTGGGCGTGTGCAGGCGCCCTCAGGCCTGGCCGAGGCCCGTGGGGA